CCTCCCCAGTGCAGCAGCCAGGAACCCTACACTGATGCACTCTATCCGGGGTTTTTACCCCAGTGCCTCCTGTGTAAGCAGTTCTCCAACCCCAACTGGGTCAGCAAAACGTTCTTCCCTTCTGCTGAGTCATCCCCCCAGCTTGCTTAGTAATAAAAACATGATAGCATTTCCTACCTTTATACAGCTAATCACAGTTATATGCAGACTCTGAGTATAGCCTATGCCTCTCTGGAACTAATGGGTGAAGGATGGCTCTCTAACCCGGCGCGCTGTGGAATAAGGCTTTGCCGTTAATCTGTGCACACACCAGGGGCAACTGGGAGCCTGCAGCTGAACTACTGAGGGTTAGATGACTCGCAGAAGGGTGGGTATGGCCGTGGACTATGGAACAGAACCCCCAGGCTCCAGCTGTAGGCTCTGTTTGAGGGCAAGGAAGTAGTCTCCTGGGGTTCTGCCTTTTTCGCCTGAGCACCTAGCAGGGTACAGGGCAGGCCGGGTGATCCTTGACAATGCACTAATGCACTCTGCATGAGGCAAGAGAGGTTGTTTAGTATTAAGTTTGTTTTTTAAAAAAATGCCTAAAAGCTGCATTCTCCAGCTTCTGATCCTAGCTTACCCTACCTGGAATCACTGCGCTCTCCCTGTCTTCGGTAAAGAAAGACGAGAGAAGGCACAAATGTGTGTGTGTGCATAGTTTCATACATGAGTAAGACTGTATCCACTCAGCAATGACGCACCTCCAAGCTGCTTCTTGAAGGGTGCTACAACTGGTTTTACCCAACATACTTATTTCACACCTGTATATAAAAAATGGAATCTATGAGAAGAAAATGCAACAAATGAGAAATGAACACAGCAGAACCAGCATAATGGATGAATAGTACTTGTAGTAACTAAGGCTAAGTATTGCACATTATCTGAAAACAATGCTGATAGAACAAAACAGTTAATAATTTATGATTTATATACAGGAAATCAGGAAAAAATAACCCCATAGGTACACGTCCATTAGTATTGAGTTAATTTTAACGGAGTAATTAAATATAAAGTAATGACAAAGTACAAGTTAAATCACAGGAATATTACTAGAGTTTAAACCTAGTTTTATGTCCTTAATACTTTATAGTTAATGAAGTAAAAATAAGTATGTGTAGTTTCTTCTCTGAATTAACAAATCAAATAACAGCTCACTCATAATTATAAGTTTAAAGACCTCATATTAAATACTGTTTGGATTTTTGTTTTATTTTTAAATACTTCCTTAAGCTTCCCGTATGTTCATTAATTTTTATCCCTTTACTTATTTCCCCATCTGTCAATCCAACATGTTTATTATGTATTGAGACCATGGCTAAGTATCAACATCACAATGCAACATAATAATTTTCAGTAAACAACATTCTTGTACATATACAATCTTACTTAAAATAATCTGTGAACCAAATCTCCATAATTTCATAATTCTGCATAGGTTTAAAGTATTAGCTTAAATTTTAAAACAGGAGCTGAGAGAAACAGGAAGTTATGTGAAATGAAATAGTTTTTGATTGCTGTCAGGTAAATAAAAAGACGCACATGAAAAGAATAATTGGAAGATTTAGGAAAAATTGAAATGTACAAGAGCTACACTTGATGAAGCAAACCATGACAAAATCAATATTATACAGAATATCACAATATTCAAATCCATTCTTAAATAGTTTCTACAGAACATTAAAATGAGGTATACATGCATATGCATAATTCATCTATTTTCTATTTCATGTCAGAAGCATTCTTTAGAGGTATCTTCCACATGCACTACCAATAGATAAACACTGTACCTTGTAGTTGTTTAAAGAAAAAAAGAAAAAAAAAAGAAAAAAGAAAAAAGCAGCAGTTTTACTACTGTGCTGTATCTATTCTTGTCCTCTACAGTCATCCCCTCCCCCCCAAAAATCTCAAGAAGCATTTGTGTATTTCTCCCATCTTCAGATACAAGTTTTTCAACATCCCCCTTTCAAAACTGTGTGAATTTATTTTTATTTAATTTCATTAAATACGTACTTAGTCTCAAAAATGTGTCTATGGGTACCTCAGATGTAACTCAGTGGTAGCAGTCTTGCCTTGCAGGCAAAAGACCCTTCATTCAATGCTCAGCTCAACCAAAACAGAAGTGTGTGTGTGTGTGTGTGTGTGTGTGTGTGTGTGTGTGTGTGTAAACTAGAAGAAAATTCCATGGCATGACCTTCTGTGACCAATTTCTGTTTCTTAAATTTAGCCACCCATTTCTTACCATCCTTACTTCTGTGTCTGTATTTACATTTTGGTTGAAAATTTCATCTTAAAGCATGTCTCAAATCTTGCCAATCACCTGCTTTAAAACATTTGTCATTTACTACAGGCTCTTTGTTTTCCAAAAGTGAGCACTTGAGATCCTTGGTATCATGGAGGAGAGCCTATGTGTGCACGGGTTTGTCCTACTTTCCTAATTTCATCTCTTACATCTCGCTTCACAGTCTGACCCTGCCCATCCAGCCAGCCAGCCAGCCATAGATCCATATGTTTACCATTTTCTTTCCTAACCCGTAGAAACCCTTTCTGCATATGCCAGTCAGAATCCTCCCTCACCCAACTTACGTATACTTTCTGACTTTCTACACCAAAACAACACCCCCTCACTCTGGCTTCTCTTGTGCCACTCTGCTCTGCTCCTCTAAGGGGACTCCCCTGTTCTGCTTTTTGTTATGACCACTGGACACATCTCTCCTAGTAGTTACAACACCCTTCAGCCAGATCATGTCTTATTTAGCAACCATTCTTTTATTTGTAACTTACAACACTTAGTTTTATGGAATGTTAACCTGACTACAGATGCTCATATATGAAACTTATCATTTTCATACAACATGACTGAGTGGCGAGTCTAACTTTACGCTCACATTTTCTGTTCTTTTCCTAAAAAAAATGACCCTGAAAGTGATACTTAATGATTGCTATATTTGAGCTTCAAATATTGTAACTCTCATTGTATACAAATATATTAAGGGAAGTCCAAGTTTTCCAGTGCATGATCTGTTGACTGATGTGTTTCTGGGAGAAAGAGGACATTTTAAATGGCTGTCAGCCACATCTGCCCAAGAGCCTTCAATCTCGAATGCATCAATCCCCAATGTTTGTTTATAATAAATTTATATTTAGAGCCAGAAAAAAATACTGCCTTGAGAGCTTAAAAAATGCATACAAGGATACCATGGCTATGTTATGTGTGGTTGTCACTATAGGATATATGCTTAAAGGCTGTTCAATACCATGACTTAAACCTTTAATTTTTTTTATTATTGAGTCTAGAAAAAAATTGAGACATCTGAATTCATAGTCCATGAACTACAGCAAGTATCGAAAAAGCTTTTATATGTACCAACAGTTTATATAATGCCAAAGTTACTGGATACAAGGCTAAAAGTAAACAAAATGTACCACAGTCTACAATAACACATCTGCCTTATTCTCTTGGTTGTATTAATATTACAATGATTCTTAAAGAACAGTTCAATATATTTTCACTTCCGCTTGACATCCAATGTAATGATTTTTGACATGATAATCCACTAAATATTCACTTAGCTTCTGTATTAAATTGTCTTCTCCAGAGAGTTTAAAGTTCCCAACTGAGAAAAATCACAGATTACGGACAACGAACGTTGAAGATATTAACATGTTCCTTTAAGGCCATAAAACATGCCTTTTGGGCAGAATTATTTTTATAAAATTACAAATAAGTGAAACATACATAATTTTACCTTTTAATGTAAGGTAAAGTCACATTATTCCTGTTTCTTGCTAATACTTTTACTATTACACTACTTTGATATACAAAGGTCCAAAGTGATATGCTTTGAAAGTACATTTTTAAAAATTCACACATTGTAATTTTAAAAGTTTTAGGTGAAGAGTGAAAAAAGTTTGAAAATAGCTTGGTATGATCAAAGATTTCCTCCAATAAAATCCATATATATATTATTATATATGTCATATATTACATTAAAGTCTATAAAACCTAATCTTTAGTTTATGTATGTCCGTATTTGTATAACTTATTCCAATGTTTCTGAAAATATTGTCCATAAAATACTTGATTCAAAACAATTCGAAGTACCCATTTTAATGCGGAGACCTCAAGAATCCACTCCAACCCAGCTGGACCCGAATCCCTGTTCGTGAAGCGCCAGAGAGAAGGCACAGAACAAGTTTGCCCACGTGATTCTGATGCTCCCCACAGCTGAGAAACCAATTGGATGCAACTGAAAACCATACCTTATTATGGTGTCAATGCTGCATGTTCAGAAGAAGTTACCACATGATTCCTTCCAAAAAAATCCAAATGCTCATTTTTAGGATTTCCAAAGTGCCACTCAGTGGAAAACTCAAACCTGTTTCTGAATCTCCTGGTATTTCAGCTCAATGCACAAATGAGAAGGGTCATTTATCTCACCATTTCCTGATGCCCAGAAGCGTTCAGCGCAAGTGCCCTGACACCTTCTCCGCCCTGGGCTCCTGACCTCTGCTTTCCACAGCTCGGAACAACGAACCCATCCGCCCTCAGGCGAGCCCTGCCAGTCAGCGCTAGCCCGGACTCAGGACCTCGGACAGCGCCCGGCGGAGCCAGCGAGGCACGGGCCCGCGAACCTGCCCTTCCCGAGCCGGGGCCCCACGGACACGGCCCTGAGACGCCTCCAGAGGCAGGGGCCGCCTCCCTCCTCTCGCCCCTGCAGCTGCCAACGTCTCTTTCCAAATCGCCGCAAAAGAAGCCGCGAGGACTCTAACCTAGGCCGGGAGCCGCCCCACCTCCCGCCTCTCAGCGCCCGCGCCTGTTGCTAGGGAGGCGGGACGACTCGGGCCGGGGCCAGGCGACGCCCGCGGAGGAGCCGCGAGCACGCGGGCGCAGGGCCGGCCCAGGACCCCGGCGGGAAGCGCGGCCGGGAGGAGGCCGGGGCGCCCGGGCAGGCGGCACTCACCATGTTGACCTCGGAGACCATGTCGATGCTGGCGATGTCGATGTTCATCCCCACGCACACCGGCGGGCCTGCGGAAAGCGCATCGCGAGGTCAGCGCGCTCGGCCCGGCCCGCCCCGCCCCGCGCCGCAGCCCGGACGCGGCCGGCTCCCTCCTCCGCCCAGGCCCGGCGCCGTCGGGCGCGAAGCCCGCAGCGGCCGCGCGCAGCCCACAGCCCACTTACCTCCGAAGTCGGGTCTCAGGCGGATGTCGTAGCCTTTCAGCAGCTTGTCCACCGTCTCCTTCACAAAGGACATGTTCCCGGGATCGTTCACGCTGCGGGCGGTCACGGAGAGCGGTCAGGGTCAGGTGCAGCTCGCCTCGCCCCGCCCCGCGCCCCGCGCCCCGCGCCCGCCCGCGCCCTACCTCTGGGCGCAGCACACCACCGCCACCAACACCGGGGCCGAGAAGATGCCGAAAAGCCTCCCTCCCGCGAAGCCCCACATCCCTCCGCCGCGCCCCGGCACGGGCAGGGGGCGCCCCGCCGCCGTCGCGACCCGCAGCCGGGGCTGCTCCTACTGCTCCCGCCGCCACCGCCGCCGCCGCCGCCGCCGCGCTGG